AACTAAAGCTTAAAAGTATACATTTAAATATGCCCCGAACATTATATATTATGAACAATTAAAGTAAATACTACGAGTAGATACGATTCATGTTATTGGGTTTAGTTCAAACTGTCTATGAAATTTCCATTCCTAATCGATTCCGAAACAGGATCATTCTGGAGAGATTAGGAGCCGATCCGCAGTATAATCACGGTTTTGATTTTGCAAAATCTAATTATGTTTACATTACCAATTTGATTTAGTTCCCGATTCAGTCTTCAACTCTCAACTAGGTAAATAATAGTTAACAATAACATATAAAATAATCAATAAATCACCTCCAATGAGGGAATAAAAGCACAGTATCCTCAAAATCGTATATTAAAAAATGGGTCAGTTGATGTTTATTTTTATAAAATAATCTATACAGGGTCCGGCAATAGTGCTTCGGGCATCTATAGCTCCTGGAATAAAAACTTGGGACTTTCGTTTAAGTGCAAACCTAAAGTATGTACTAGGATGTATTTCACAAAAATATTTTGACTTCTATAAGGTTGTGAAGGTGCTCAAAAAAGTGAGTGGATTGAAATGATTTTTTTAAATGGAACATCCTGTATTTATTGCATTTTTAGCTTTCTTCCAGATCACTTCGCTGAGAAATATATATTTTTTATTTATTTATTAATATCTCTGAAACTATCGAAATATATTTACTCATATCTTAGTATTATTAAAGTTAAATACTTAACTTTGCTATAAATATGGTAATTGTAAACCATACAGGATGTTCATAATTCTACGCCAAACTTTACTATTCCTTACTTATATAGTTTCTCCGGAAGTATTGGATATTCTGCCTGGTGGCCTAGAGGTAGAGCCCTCGTTTACCAATTGCACCAGTTGATTATTTTAACAGGTGGTTTGAATCTTGCGGCAGGCATTTTATCAGTCGATGATTTTTAATAAAACATATAACTAGTTTAGGGTTGCTAGGTCGATTCAGTCTTAAAGCCTAATTGACACAGTCAAAGTGTACTTGGATCAAATACACTTTGACCGTGTCAACCAGGCTTAATAAGTACTTGGAGTTTATATCTTAAGATAGCAAGGCGGATGCTAGTACGTAGTGCTAGCCACACAAATGTAGCCCCACTACTTGCCTAGTATACTAAGCTATACTCTAGTATAGTAAGCTATACCTTGCCACTTCAAAAGCGTGCTAAGGCCTATATATGGAGTATAAGGCTACTATTATTATTATTATCAATGGAATTTACAATTTTCTCTCGGTATTGGTTGGCATATGATATTTTTGTCATTACTATGCTTTTGCCTTAACTTCTTTAAACTTTCCTGTTAGTTACGAGTTCTATATAATATGACCTTAACAATGGACGCAGAATTCTCATTTAGACACTTATGTAGATCGGGAATTGCCTAGACTCCGTTACGTGACATAAAAGTTATCTTAGGTTCCAGAATATTCTAGTGTAAGTAAAAATGGCAGATTTACGGGCTATTTTATTATATATAAATATTTTATCACTTTTTAATAGCGAGACGAAAATTTGAACATAAACGCAATAGTTTGTAAATTCGTTTAATATTCGAAATGCTGAATTTATGACCCAATGTCGTAAATTATCGGTTATGACACTGGGGAAAATTGATTTTTAAACTGCATTAAAAATAAATTGTATGATTTGTTACAAAATTATATAGATAATGGAAATTTTCTTAAATCTAGTTTTTCTAGTTGTTTCTTTTTTATTTAAAAAATGTATTTTTTAGAATTTTTAATCGATTGATGGTTTCAGCATCGGTGCTGAAACCATCAATAAAGAAAGAAAGAAAAATAAATCGCCCATTTTAATTACAAAAATCAATAAAGGGATGAATTCTAAGCAAAAAATGTTCTATAACATTTTTTCAGAAAATTAATATTTTCCGAGTTATTTAGGATTGAAAATATTGATTTTTCATCTAAAAACTGTATATTTTTCTGCAATTTTTTATAAATAACTCGAAAATCTTGCGTTTTATCGCAAAACTACGGAAGCGCTGGAGGACCAGTATGTATTTTTTTTTAAATTCAACCGGTTGATTTTTACACTCAACTGATTGACTTAATACTCAACTAGTTGAGTTTCTAAACTCAACCGGTTGACTATATAAACTCAACCAGTTTACTTTATAAACTCAACCGGAGTTTCTCAAGCATTCTAAATTATTTCCATAGATTATTTCTATTCCACTCTCACATGTGTAGCGCTTTCGTGCACATGTATACACGCGCTCTCCTCTCGTGAAGTCCTAACATAAAACGCCTTTATTGCACTGTGTAAAAGATTGTAGAGTATAGTGTAGTGTATATTGAATTGGAAAGATTACATGGAGCAACCACATTTGAATAACGCCATTAAATACTACTTTTATTTGGGCTTACAAAATCATGAAATATTGTTGTTCCTTCTACAACCGAACTTCACTATTAGTTTTACAACGTTGAAACGACGTCTGCGGTATTTGAATTTATATCGGAGAAAAAATTATGCTCCACTACCAAATATAGTAGATTTTATCAGTGAAAAAGTGTTCTTCAAGTAAACTGCATGGATATAAATGGATGCACCGAAAATGTTGGCAAGCAGGACTAAATGTTAGACAGAATATTGTTCGTAATGTGTTGAATTCTATCGACCCACAAGGTGTCTCAACAAGAAGGAGAAAACGACTCCAAAGAAACGCGGAATAAAACAGTCAGATTGAGTTGTTGTCCTTTTAAGCTTATATTTTTATTGGAATACATCGTGATTTGGATAATTAGTTGTGTTATTTTGGGAAAAAGTGACTAAAATCAATTCAAAAGCTTACATTTATATGCAATAATTTACTTAGAACACGAATGTTCAGGTGAAAGCAATACTTTTTGAAAGGTAAAGCAAGGTAAAGCAACATGACAGAAAATTAAATGGCATATGAATGAGTGACAATTAGATAAAATCAGCCTTAATCACATTTTATTTTCCTCATCTATCACTGTCAATCAGTACGCATTTACTTTGCTTTACCTTTCAAAAAGTATTGCTTTTACCTGAGCATTCGTGTTATAAGTAAATTACATATAAATCCATAACTATTTAAATAAGCAATGTTGTGTTATACATATTTAAATTCAAAAAAATATAGCTTTTAAAAGTGGGATATTACTGATATTAATCTACTGTGGGTGGGATGTTTTGTGATTGCACGTAAACATGTAAACAAAACAGTCACTACCAATACTGATACTACAATGAACCGCGTGGTTTAGATTCTAAAGTCAACCGGTTGAGTTTGGAAACTCAGCTAGTTGAGTATTAAGTCCATCAGTTGAGTGTGAAAATCAACCGGTTGAATTAAAAAAAAAATACATACTGGTCCTCCAGCGCTTCCGTACAAAACGCATATAAAGCAAAAATGAAGCTTTTGGAATAACGAATCGACTCATTTTTTGTTGTTGACCGTAGGTGTAGTAATAGCCGAGTTATCACTCTGTAAACTTGATTCTTTATTTTTCGAAAACTAAATTGCAACCTTTTACCGTAAAATAATGGCGAAAGAACACATTTTTCGAATGAATATGGCCGTTTTTAAAGTGCTTGAAAAGATTAAAGTGCTTAAATGTCTTTTTTTAAAGGTCTTTTCAAGTTCGTAGTTCAAAAAATGTCCCCTAATAAAAAATGTCCTATTAATTGGTACAAAATTACATGAGCTACAAATTGACATCTATAGTTGAATAGTCTTGAACTCTTCATTTTTACGAGATTTTTGGGTTTTAAGTGCTCAAAGAAGGTGGTCCTTACATGCAAGTTAAACTAAAAAAACGTAATATCTACGAAATAAAGAGATCTACAGAAAAATTGAAGGATAGCAAAATATTGCAGAAAAAAACCTTCAATTTTCCTCTGTTGCATTTTTTTACGTATCTTGCTTAGTTTTTGAGATATGTCAAAAAATTAATTTTTTAAACAAATAATAATTTTTTCATTATTTTCAACTTTTTTCAAAATTTAGGTATTCTAAACCGCTCGAACTTGCAGAGTCAATTTTTAGTATCTAAATTAAAAAAAGCTTAGTTTTTATTTTTATGATTTTAGTCATAGATTTTGTTGTTAATTTTTTTCCGAAATAATGAGGTGACCATATTATTTTTATCATAACTCCGCGAGATTTTGAGCTACGAACTTTTTTAAGAAAGCATTTAAAAGGCCTTTTCAAGCATTTTATAAACGGTTATATCCATATTTTTGAAAAAATGTGTTCTTTCGCCAGTATTTTACGGTAAAATGTTGCAACTTTCTTTTCAAAAAATAAAAAACACGTTTACAGAATGATAACTCGACTCAAGCAGGTAATCAACAAAAAATGGATCGTTTAGCTATTCCAACAGCTTCACTTTTGCTTTATATGAGTTTTACGATAAAACGCAAGGTTTTCGAGTTATTTATAAAAATTGGCAAAAATATGCACTTTTTAGATGAAAAATCAACATTTTCAATTCTAAATAACTACGAAAATGTTAATCTTCTGAAAAAATGTTTTAGAACATTTTTTGCTTAGAATTCGTCCCTTTATTGATTTTTGTAATTAAAATGGGTGATTTATTTTTCACCCCCGAGAAGGGGTGGTACTCACCCCCAGGGTGGAAACACACATCGTTACTATGTAACATTTGTTTCTTACATATATCTCTATTCACTGTTAAAACTTCAGGTAAACCGTTGCAGGTGTTGAGAATTCGGACCCTAAAACCCTTGCTTACTGGTCTACGATGAAATAAAGATGAGGTAATTGCATATTAAAAATATATATTTTTTTTTATAAATTAGTCCAGTAAATAAGAACGCGAAAAGGCTCAAGTCTCAGCGTAATTAGTCGACCTTGACTTTTAGGGCGGATTGTGTACGAATTAGTAGTTTTCGATATAGTCCGTCTCGAGGATCCTCGAATTTTCTCTCCAAGTCTTAACGGCTTACCTAAGGCTGACTTGACTCCCGTCCACGCCTCTCTGACGTAAGTGAAAAATCTCCTGTGCAACGGTCTCTTCGGCAGCCTCTGCTCTTCCTCGTCGTCGTCCGTGAGTTCTTGCTGCGCAACGGATACCTCTTGCAACGGCTCGAGAACGTCGTGCTGCTGGAAACGGCCTCGGGATATTACGGACACGGTCGGTTGCTGCTCTAGAAGGCCTGCGCGGTTCCGAGTTTGGTTCGGTTTTTGGTGTTGCTGGTCACGTTGACGTTGCACCTAGCAAAGCAGGGGGTTAGAGGTTAGAATATTAGTGCTTAGCAATTAGTAAAGAATACAAGGACCAAAAACAGCCGAGACCAAATTGTCTTCAGACAGTGTCGTGCCGGGGGTTAACATAAAAAAATTGGAATTTTAATTGTTTCACAAATATATTTTTTTCCAGCGGTTAAAAAATACTGCGACTCTTATTAGAGACTTATTTAATTAATATATACAGGGTGGTCCGAACTGTATTCCGGAAACTTCGGTAGGATATTCTGCAGACAGGGACGGATTCAGAAATTTATTTTAGGAGGGGCCCGGAATATATTTTAAGGGGGGTCAAATAAAAAGAATATGCTTTTTAGAGCGCCATTTTTAACCCAAAAGCTTAATATTTGACCTAATTTATAGATTTTAGTATCTGTATCCGCCACTGTCTGCAGATAAAAATAAGTAAAACAATTCGTATAAATGTACGTCCGAAAATGTTTTGGAGATACAGGGTTTAGAAGTTTCATTTTATTTCGATTTTTTTCCGAATAATTTCTCAAGTAACGTCAATATTTGGAAGAAAATTGGTACCTGGAAGTTTTTTGACATGAGAAATTTGATTTTGATGTCATTATGACTCTTATTTGTAGGGGACGCCACTTACATGTGTTTTAACTGTTTTGAAGAGTAACAACTTTTCGTCCGTACCTGTATAAAACTACTGAGTGAAAAAATATACATTTCCGTGATTTTTTACGTAAAATACTCTTGGTAAAAATCACTACAAGCAACCGTTCTGAAGATATTTAGAATGGGAATAGTCAATACATGTCATTATTGACTAAAAATAAACATGTTCAGTAGATAATTATTTGACTGAAATGATCAAATTTGGGAACTTTTTATTTTTCTTCAAAAAAATGGCAATAAAAGAGTTTCTGTTGGACCTTTGGCACAAAAACATTTCAAATGTATGATATCAGTCTAATAACTATTTAGTCAACATGTTTAATTTATGTCAATGATGACAGGTATTGATAATTTCGATTCTAAATATCTCGAGAACCATTACTCGTAGCGATATTTACCAAGAGACCTTTTTACGTAAAAAATTTGGTAAATTGATATTCTTTTACTCAGTAGTTTTATACATGTACGGATGAAAAGTTATTACGCTTCAACCCAGTTAAAAAAATATGTAGGTGGCGCCCTCTACCAGCAGGAATCGTATTGACATCAAAATCCAGACACCAATTTTCATCCAAATATTGACGTTACTTCAGAAATTATTTGGAAAAAATCGAAATAAAAATGAAGCTTCTGCACCCTGTATCTTGAAAACTAAGCATTTTAGGACATATATTTCTATGAAATTTTTTACTTATTTTTATCTGCAGAATATGCTGCTGAAGTTTCCGGAATACAGTTCGGATCACCCTGTATATATATTTATTCAGATTTTTTTGATAAATATTTCGCCTACACCTATGGTGGATGCTGCTCCTTAGGCGAAATCATGCCAGCTAACTATAAACAAAACTAGTTTGGACTATTATGCACAACATGTTATGACATATAGTATAATATCAGAAAAATGTCTATGAAATTTAATAAGAAAACGCTAAAACAGTGGAGGGGGCTGTTTATTTATCTGTGAAACGTAATTCCTGGCTCTTTCTTATCGTTACGGCTTATACATTTGACAGCTGAACTATCATCATTGTAATAAAATTTATACAAAGTTCACTATACGCTTAACAAACTATTAATAATCGGTAAATTTGTCTCTGGTCACGCATCCGTTGTCTCCAAAAAATGGCACCTAATATTACAAATTTTGCATCAGCTCGTATATGCGCGTTACACGATTTTTCCGATATTCCATCGTCCTCGAATTTAGAACTACCCTGTATAAAAAGCAACATACTTATTTTTCAAATAATTTATTTAATTTTGAACAATTCATTTGTATTTAGTTTGTTGAGATTTGTTTATAGTATGATAGGAATTTTATCAAAAATAAAATTATTGAATAAAAATTATTGACAAACTTGAGATAGATTTTTATACTGTGTGTTCAACATTCTTGGACGCACTTAAAAGAAAGCAAAACTAATTTCAATGATATATTTTTGAACTAAACCTAAGAATTTGATAATCAAGTTTTAGAACGTTGCTAATGGCAACAATAACAGAGTAACTGTACTCTTGATTCAAGGAAGTATTTTTATCCGAGTATATGAAAAACTAGCGTACATGAAAATAAACTTCTCCTGAATGTGTTTTTGTAGACTAAACTTCCGATGCTTTATAAATTCGTTATTGGTAATTATTTTTTATATACTTTTTCTCTAACATTTATATTTAGAATACTTTACTTAATATGTTTAAAGTTATTCCTGTCAGGGAATAATGAATGCATTTTTTACCTTGTTTATGAAAATAAGTATAGAGTATATTATATTTTTAAAAATAAGGTAAATAAATTAAAGAAATAATATACAGGGTTATTCACATCATTCGACATGAGTATTGTAGCCAAATGATTAGATTTTAGAAATTGTCAGTGATAGGATCGCTGGAGGACTACTAAAGCCACAATTTAAAATTACTTTCAAAATGTACAGAGTGTTTTTAAAGCAGCAAATGTACAAAATGTACAGGTGCTAAAACCGACAATATAGCTAGCCCATTTGTTTATAAAAACAAAACTATTTAAATCTCTGCAAAAGAGTATACCGATTAAATATACCACCATTATTTCTCCCCAAATATTAATTAATTACATACTTAATTGTGTTAGTTAATAAATTATTCTAAATAAATGTGGATTTGTATCAGGAAATAATAAGCTATAAATGTGAACGTCGCTGTTGTTATAAATAAGCATTCGTCAAAAAATGAAATAAAATTTATAAGGTGTTACTTTTTACCATATTGTCTAATACATATACAAAACAGTTTTTTACTAGTCTTCTTTACTTAGTCTGGATTCATATTAGTTGGCCTTCTTTTACGAATATTCAAACATTTTTTTCATTTTTTAAGGAAATAAGTATACTATATAGACAATATTAGTATTTGTACTCTTTGAAATTTTGTTACATATTTATAAATACTCTAAAATGTCAATATTCCATATGTATATGGATAAATGAGGTCTAAATTATAAGAAAATGCATTTTCTACGAAATCTTAAAGAGATAGGTAAAAATGGTGTAATACAATTTGATAGACAATTAAATTGAGCAACTGATTCTCGTAAAATATACAGGGTCTATTTAAATTACACAAGTTATTGCCGTTTAGCACTAATAATTATTTAAATTAAATTTTTAAACACTTTATATAAGGTAGTATCATTTTTATTATTGCAACACAAAATTTAGTAAAAGGAAAATCTTCATTACAATATCTGGTTTTAAAAACTTAAATACTCTTAGAGAAATAAACAATTAAAATTGTTATTGCATTTTCACAAAATTGTAAATATTTCAAACGGTAAGGTTTCAGTCGTACGGTTTACCTTCATTTGAATCGTAGAAATTAAAAATGTAATAATATATGTTAATAATAATGCTCCATTTAAAAAATACAACTTTGATATTTTTTATTTATTTGGAACACTCTGTACCTTTTAAAAGTAATTTTAAATTGTAGCTTTAGTATAGTAACTTTTCTCCAACGATCCCATCATTCACAACTTCTAAATATCTAATTATTTGGCTACAATACTCCGAATCGGATGAGGTGAATAACCCTGTATATGGTATCCCATTTAAAGATACATAAGTTTGTTTTCGATAAGTTATAAAATAACCGAGATACAAAGGGCGCCGATAAATGCAAAATTTTAAAATTCGTCCTGTATTTTAGAAACTAAGAGGGCTAGAGCAAATCTGTGTGTAGCATCTAATTTCATAAAAAAGTAATACAGTAATGTGAAAACCGCATCTTTGAATCTCTACTCATAAACGAGTAACTCTTTAAAACACAGGAAAATGGGACACCCTATATATTTGAGTGTTTCAAGAAACATTTTACCCTTTTCACTGCTTGTACTCCATCCCCAGAGTTAAATTATGGTACATACTGGAACAACTTGATGTGGATGAATGTCTCATAAATTTAATTACGGTGCTGTACAACAACAACACAGCTCGTGTTAAGGGCGGTAACAAACTTTCTGAGGTAATTTTTACAACTAAAGGCCTTCGACAGGGATGTCCTCTGTCGTCTCTTTTATTTAATCTGTATTTGGAAGTGGTTCTTAGGGACTGGAAGAAGAAGTGTGTGGGAAATCAGGTGGTCATAGCTCAAGATGCTTACGACCTTGAATTCATGATGAGCAGGTAAATTCGACATACACGGAATGGGGCCTTACTGTAATCATTGATAAAACGGAATATCTAGTGACCAATTCAGATGATAAATTTGACATTTTTATTACTGACAATGCAAAGCTCAGACAGGTTGAATGGTTTAAATATTTGGGGGCACGTATAACCAGAAAGGGACTGGACAAAACAGAAGTATCTGTTAGAATAGAACAAGGGCGGAAGATTATAGGAGCACTGAATGGCATCTGGTGGGACAAAAACATAAGACCAAACACAAAAATACATATTGGAAGAGCCCTAGTGGAGTCGGTAGTAACTTATGGGTGTGAAGTTTGGACCTTAAAAGCTGAACAAAAGCGAGCTTTGAATGCACTCGAAATGGACTATTTGAGACGCAGTGCGGGAGTATCTAAACTGGACAGAGTTATGAACGTGGAAATCAGAGCCAAAATGGATGCCAAACAGACAATAGTGGATAGAGTCGAACAGAGGGGGCCTTAAGTGGTTTGGACACTTGCTACGCATGGAACACCAAAGATGGCCCTACCGTATTTACAGCTGGTCACCTCCTGGAAAAAGGAAACGAGGACGGCCTAGAAGATCCTGGAATGAGGCCATCAGAAGGGCAATGGAGGACCGTAACTTGGAAGAGGAAGATGTTCTTGATCGTAACAGGTGGCGGTTAGGCCTGGGGATGCGACGTTAGTTGCGACAATCCTGGAGTATATATACATATATACATAGAGGGAACGACAGGACAGATATTATAATCTTTTCAAAGGCCACCGTGACGCCGCTTTTTTAATGATGCCATATGATAATATCAAGATATGTATGGTTGTCAAAACGTTGTCATATAAAAATAAATTCATAAACATTATCAACATAATTTAAATCTTCATACAAAAAAAAAATCTTCCCTAAAAAAGATATAAATCAATACATACCATTGGGTACATTATGTGCCCCACATTTTAAAGCCGACCATGCTTTGTTTAGTTGCGTATGTTATCGCATTTTTCTTAACGCCTTTTGTAGATGTTAGTTCTGATGAGAGTTAATAAAATGTAGATTATCTGTTGTTAGACTATTGCGAGCAACCTGAAAAGAAAAAAAAGCGAGCGGTTAGGGGTTAGGTTTGTTAGAACAGATATTAAGCTATCAAACATATTATTATTATCAAAAGTAGTAATTAGTAATCGAGATTTATATTAAATTCATTTATGATGAATTAAAATAAAACTATTTATGATAAAAACAATAATTGGATATGTGGAAACTGTGAAGAAACTGTCAAACTATTTCGTTTGGAGAATATTTTTTTGTCTTTCTTAATCCGTGAATTGGTATACTCATTTCTTGATAATATATTTATTCAAATATTTCACAAAAGTTTATACCGGGTGTTGCATCGTCGGACGAGACATAGGAAATCCCATGTAAATTTTAATGGGGTCAATTACTGGCTTCCATAATTATTTTAGAGAATAATTCTATTTAGGTTTATTGTAGAGCACTTAAACCCACATTCAAAAGAATAACTTTAGATATTTTTGATTAGCTCGTGTACGAGTTATCGCCGATTTTTTTTTAAATATTTCTCCTTTCTTATGGCCCTGTATTTACTTATGAGCAGCAGTCAAGATAAAAGATAACTGTCAAATGAAGTTGTCATTTCAGAAATTTACCTATTTAGTGCTTTATTATTATTGAAAACTTATTCCTACATCGGAAATCTTAAAAGTGTATTTATAAATACAAATTAATATGAATTAAAATAAAATAAAGTAATCAATTACAAGGTTAATTATAGTACTATTACAATATTCAATAACTTATTAATTTAGGTACTATTAAATTGTTAGAACTTTAGGATTTAAGAAGATGTTCAAATATTCCTCCATCGACTGCTAGACAATAACCCAGGCGATCATAAAATTCTCTTCTTACATTCGCTAGTTGGTAAACTGAAATTCTATTGCATTCGGCAGAAATAGCATTTTTTAACTCGTCTTGATTTGAGTATTTTTTATTCTTGTATATCCTGTTTTTTAAATGGCCCCAGAGAAAGAAATCATTTGGCGAAATATCAGGAGACCTTGCTGGCCAATTTACTGTATGATTTAGGCAAATAACGTTTCCGTTAAAACTATTGTCTAAATATTCCCGAACAGCCAGGGTACTATATGCCGGGCAGCCATCCATTTGGTACCAAACTTCCTGATTTTCTCTAGCGGCATCATGTAAATCAGCAAAATTAAAACACTAAATCACCACAATACTGTAATGTAAATCAGGTAAAATATGATTTTCGAGTAGTTCCAAATAATATTCTGCATTTAAATTTCGCGTAATAAATAATGGCCCGATAATATTGTGTCCGAATATCCCTGCCCAAACATTTACTTTCTGTGGATATTGCGTCCTTGTTTCGACAAACCTGTGTTGGTTTTGTTTGTTCCAATATCGATAATTTTGAACGTTGGGTTCATTATTTAAGGTAAACGTGCATTCGTCAGTGAAACATATGTTTTTTTAAAAAATCCCTATCCGTGTTTGCTCTTTCCATTATATCAAAACGAAACACCTGCCGCCGTATTTCGTCCCCATCTCGTAGCTCTTTATGCTTTTCATATTTGAAGGAATAATATTTATGTCGTTTCAAAATTCGAAACGCTGTAGTGTGATCTATTCCTATTTCATCCTCAAGTTTCCTTGTGCTGATCTTTCCATCGTTCTCTTCCACGCACAATAAAACTTCCAAGTCGGTATCATTTCTTGCATCTTCTCTTTGTTCCTGCTTTGCTTCACATCTGCAGTTATTTATTAGGGTACCTTTGGTCTCAAATCTCTGGATATTCCTTGCGGTTGTAGATTTTCCAGGTATCGGTCTATTCGGATACAGAGCAGCAAACATATCCGACACCTTTTGATAACTATTTCCTTGATAATACCATTTAATCATCAATATTTTTTCTTCGGTAGTGTAATTCATGGCTAATATTTTCGATGTAGGTATGAGTTTTTAATAATAATAATAAAGCACTAAATAGATAAATTTCTGAAATGACAACTTCATTTGACATCTTTTACCTTAACTGGTGCTCATAAGTAAATACAGGGCCATAAGAAAGGAGAAATATTTAAAAAGAAATCGGCGATAGCTCCTAAACGGGCTAATCAAAAATATTTAAAGTTATTCTTTTGAATGTGGGTTTTAGTGTTCTTCAATAAACCTAAATAGAATTATTCTCTAAAATAATTAGGGAAGTCAATAATTGACCCTATTAAAATTTACATGGGATTCCCTATGTCCCGCTCGACGATGCAACACCCGGTATACAATTTTATTTAATATAAAGGAAGTGTCTTTGCATCATATCTCTTCCTGTTGATGCATATCGTTGTCTACCTTCTCTTACGCAATAGATCACAGATCAAATTGACAAATTCTATGTATTTATTAGTACTGGGTATGAATTCTAAGTTATGTCATTGTCAGTTCTTCAAAACGTCCAGAATATATAGAATAAAATAAAGAATGGGACGGAACATGGGAAGTAGACATGGAGGAAGAATGAACTACAACATGGAATAAATAAAAATGTCTATTTTCAGCCTTTTTTAAAAAAACCGTCCTGGAATCAAAACTATATCAGGTACTTACTTTAGATGGTCTATATTTACTTTGTTATAAGTATTATTAATGGGAAAACCCGATTACTTTCAATAATCGAGTACTCGAGTTTCAAGCGATTTCAATAATCGAGCGATCGCTCGAGCGAAATATCGCTAGTATTTAAAAGTATACGGTTTTTCGCCTGTCGCTTGTTGTCCTCGTAACGCCAAGCAGTAAGTTGCCTGCGCAGAGCACATAGGTAATATTCTTTCGGTGATGAATGGCAAGTAGCAAGCAACGAGCGACGACTAGTTTGCTTGATTTAGTTTATTTCACAGCATTGTCGATGTAGGTCGTAAAATTTTGTCACTCAGATACGCAAACACGTATATATATATATATACACACGTATATATAGATACGGATAACGTCGTATAAATTTGCTACCTGCAATGTATGTAGAAAATTCGCTCGGCTTTTTATCGAGTATGTCACATTAAAATCGGATTTTAATTTATTTCATTCTAGGATCGCTTGCGTCCGTCGCTCGTAACTCGTCGCTTATTTGATGTCGGTTATTTCAATAATTTACTAAATATCGTAATCTTAAATCATACAGGGCGGTAAAATTCTTTCAGACGCCAAACTTTCTGAAATATAAAATATTTTTTTTTGTTTCTTTAAATGGATCACCCTGTATTCCCTGTATATTATTTTTTTATTAGATGGAGAATTAAAAAATAAATATTTTATTTCTTGTATATATAGCATTTCAATTTTTTTAACGGTTTCACAGATCCTGCCGTTATTATTTCATATAGCTTTTTCAACGGTAAAATACAAGAGAAAAATCAATGGGGTGGCTTCGATAAAAATTTACTGTGGAAAATTACATTTGAAATATAAAACCGCGAATATCTGCGAAACCATTAAAAATCTTGAAAGAATCTAAATACAAAAATTATATATTTTTAATTCTCCATCAATTAAAAAAATAATATACAGGGCGCTCCATTTAAAAAAAAAACAATAAAAGTTATTGTATAATTTAGAGTATGGCGTAACCATCCTGTATGATTTAAGATTACGATATTATAGCAAAATAAGTACCCAAACCATCTAAAGTAAATAACTAATACAGTTTTGGTACCAGGTATGTTCTTGTATTTTTAGTATTTTTTTAAAGGTTGAAAAATATATATTTTTTTATTTATTTATTAATATCTCTGAAACTATCGAAACATATTTACATATCTTAGGATTATGTAAAGTGATCTGAAAGGAAGCCAAAAATTCATAATATACGGGGTGTTCTATTAAAAAAAATCAAGCACGATCCACTCACACTTTTTTGAGCTAGGTATCCTGTAGAAATTAAAATATTTTCCTGAAATACATTCTAGTGCATACCTTAGATTTGAACTTAAACAAAATTCTCAAGTTTTTTTTATTCTAGGAGCTACAGATGCCCGACACACTATTGCCGGACCCTGTATATGGGTTATTTTTTCACTTATACAGGGTGGTCCGGATTCTATTTCGGAAACTTCGGCAGCATATTCTGCAGATTAAAATAAGTAAAAAAGTTCGTATAAATGTGTGTCTTAAAATGCTTAGTTTCGGAGATACAGGGTGTAGAAATTTCATTTTTATTTCGATTTTTTCCAAATAATTTAAGAAGTAACGTCAATATTTGGATGAAAATTGGTGTCTGGCAGTTTTTGGACATGAGAAATTTGATTTTCATGTCAATATGACTCCTACTTGTAGAGGGCGCCACCTAAATATGCTTTAACAAGTTTGAAGAGTAATATCTTTTCATCCATACCTGTATAAAACTACTGAGTAAAAAAATATATATTTAAAACTTTTTTTACATAAAAAAGGTCTCTTGGTAAAAATAACTACAAGTAACGGTTTTCGAGATATCTGAAATTGAAATTATCAATACCTGTCATTGACAAATTAAACATGTTGATCAAATAGTTATTAGACTGAGATCTTAAATTTGAAATATTTTTGTGCCAAAAGTTCAACAGAAATTATTAATCATCATTGTTTCGCAGAAAAATTTATGCTTAATTTAAAAAAATAAACATTTATTATTTCAGTCAAATAACTCTATTCAACGGCTGCTTATTTTTTGTCAATAATGGCATGTATTGACTATTTTCATTTTAAATATCTTGAGAACGGTTGCTCGTAGCGATTTTTACCAAGAGGCAATTTTTACGTAAAAAGTCATGGAAATGTATATTTTTTTAGTCAGCGGTTCTATACAGGTACCGTCGAAAAGTTATTTTTCTTTAAAACACTCAAAACGCATGTAGGTGGCGCCCCCTACAAATAGAAGTCATTTTGACATCAAAATCAAATTTCTCGTATCACAAAACTCCCAGATACCAATTTTCATCCAGATATTGACGTTACTTCAGAAATTATTTAGAAAAAATAGAAATAAAAATGAAACTTCT